CCTTCTTCCTCCATAACGCATACTCCCCCACCACTTCATCATTCACCGTCTCTTCATACATCGATCCACCACACACAGGCACCTAGTCGTAGATTAGCCCATATACGCAGTGAACAAAAACGGAGAGAAAATATCAACAGTGGTTTTGAAGAGTTAAAGAATATCGTTCCGACCTGCCGTGGATGTGCAGATTCGAAAGCGATCATTTTGAAAAAAGGTAAGATGAAGGGATTGAAGGAGGGGAGCAAACATATATATATACGTGTGTGTGTATGTGTGCGTTCATCGAGTGTATACATACAAGTGCATTGAATCAGCGGTATCCGGTAAGCTTTGTTGTTACAAATACTATCTTCACTATAGTGATTGCATGATGATATGGTCTGTATCTCTGACAAACGTTATTATCATAAGGATATGGTTACTATTATTTGCTCATATCGCGCGTCTCATCTTATCTATATCACTTTTTTTCTGCATATACTTCATTCTCCCTCCTTGTTTTCCTTTACAGGTCTAATCCGATATCTACGCAACTTATTTTCCAATCTTTTCCCGTCCCCTCCCTCCTGATCATCTTGCATGTAATGTGTGTGGGTAAAAAAAAAGGCAGTCTTATTGATGCATCTATATCATGAATCATATGCAACAACAAAAAATGCGCTGTTGAACAAGCAAAAGCATTACTAACAGAAAAGACAAGCGTGCATGTGCAATGAGGAGTTACAAGAATGGTAGGCAATTATTATGTAGTATATATATTAAACATGTACAATTATAATAACATTATGTCATATCACTTTTTAGATTTTTGTAAAACAGACACGTGGCGTGGGAGTATGGGCTGGGGGCTGAATTTGTGTTGGGGGAAAGAGGCTTCTTCCCACCATCGGAGAATTTTTTTTTTCTCCATGGAACCCAGATGCATATCAGGAACAAAACAGTCTAAAGGGAATGATCAGGGTAAAAGATGACCGAACGAAAATGACAAAATCAATGCTATTACCACAAAAGGAAACATGACGAAATTGATCAGGATTACGTTGGTTTGTCATAAAAAAACACTCAACACACACACATATACATGCATATATTTGCTTGCGCGCTAACCGACCGTTAATCCAAAGTTTTTTAACTAATTCATTGTATTTGATCTCTCTTCCAAATTCAATTACAAGCCGTACATTACATCCAGGCTTTAGAAAGCGAAGTTCGCAAGCTGAAATCACCTTCAATACACGCAGATCACTCTTCGTCTTCGCATCCACCGGTACCGATCGCATCCGCCGGTAATCTTCACGAACCACAATCATCACACGCTCCCCCAATTAGCAGAGGCGACCCATCGCATTCAACGTATGGCGTGAATGACATGGGAGCACGAACGGAAGTGAGAAAGCACGATGACGCGCATAGTAATTACATGTATGACGAAGGAGGTCCAAACAACTTGGACAAATACCCTCGGGTGCGCTCACCGTTACTGGGAGTAAGACAGTCACTACCTCCGGTTCGTAGTTTCTCCCAGCCATCAATAAACGCATTCAATATTGAACAAGAAGGAAATTATAACTACAGGTGTGAACACTTAAAACGAACAAGCACCGAATGGAAAAATGATTGGGATGGGTATCAGTCATATGGGAACGGGTATGCAACAAGTGGTTACATGTCGACAGCGTTAGTGGGTCCGAGCAGAAATGATTATGGACTGAATGTAATCGATAATGCACGGAGAGACAGGGACTACGAGGAAAGGAGTGAAAGGGATGATAGAGTAGGAATAGGTGTAGGAAGGGATATCAAGTTTGGATGGTAGGACATTCGCATAGAATGGATTAAAACGCGATTCGGAGGCGTATTTGGACAAACACTGCTCGGGAATGAAAGTTCAGAAAGATTCTGCGGCGGAAACGATCAATCTGATCATGCGACCTCACTTCTTCTTTCTCTTCTGCTGAGATTTTTTTTTTATTTTCGTTTCTTTCTTTCTTTCTTTCTTTTTTCAATTTGGGTCACTCGTTTAATTCGTTTCTTATTCTACATACAATGTGTGTGGTGGATCGATGTATGAAGAGACGGTGAATGATGAAGTGGTGGGGGAGTATGCGTTATGGAGGAAGAAGG